GGGGGGGGGGGGGGGGGGGGGGGGGGGGGGGGGGGGGGGTGATGCAGCCAGGGATTGAGGGGACGGGGGTGAGAGGAAATGAACACGGATTCAATTCCAACTGAGTGTGGTATCACCGGTGAAACAGCAAAAGTTCAGTAGGGCCCCATCCCAGCCCTGGAGGCAGGAACATTTCCAAAAAGGGGCATCGGATTAGAAAGTCTATCTCTAGTAAATGCATTAGTTGAACAGTCTCCCAACAACTAAAACAGGAAATGATCTTTCTGTTGTCCCCCACCTGCTGCCACCGCAGCAGGGAGGTTACTGTCTTCTTATCAATACATCCCCAGTCCTGGAACAAAACCCAGCACCTAGCGGGCACTCGGTAAATATTGTGAAATACATGATTCCACAGCCTATTTGCTAGTCAAGTGAGGGAGTCAACTTCAAAAAGTATTACTATGGTGTGCTTACAATTTTATAATCATTTAAATTGCACCGGGGCTGAGCCTGTGGCGCACTCGGGAGAGTGCAGCGCTGGGAGCGCAGCAGCGCTCCCACCGCGGGTTCGGATCCTATATAGGGATGACCGGTGCACTCACAGCGCTCACTGGCTGAGCGCGGTGCGGCCGGTCTCAAAAAGATAAATAAATAAATAAATAAATAAATAAATAAATAAATAAATAAATAAATAAATAAATAAATAAATAAATAAATAAATAAATAAATAAATAAATAAATAAATAAATAAATAAATAAATAAATAAATAAATAAATAAATAAATAAATAAATAAATAAATAAATAAATAGCATAGATTTTGAATAATTTTTTATGTTTCAGTACAGTCTGCAGTTAAGTTTATTGGGTGCATAACTTTTCATTCACTTACTATATCTATATATATTTTTTCCTATGTCCTAACTTACTTCATCTGTCGTGTTTACAAACAGCTACTCAGGCCCACCTTATTAGGAGGGGTAAAGCTCAGAGAAAGATTCTGTTTGGCTCAGATGCCCAGGGCCACGAACTCAGAAAGATGTCAGATGTGTAGCAAGAAAAGTGGATGCACAGGAAAGTTCTAGAGTCGTTTGACAGCACAGTTGGACTTTGTGCCTGCTGGAAAGGGACAAAGGCCACTGCATCTAGGCATCCTCTGGAGTGGCCGTGGGTCTGTTCATCCTGCATCTGTTCTGTGTAGTTTAGGTTTCCACCCCCATCCCAGCCAGGCCATCAGAGAGCTGCAGGAGGAGGTGTCCCGGTTCCATGTGCGGCTAGAGGACAGCCTGCACCAGCCACACAAGGGCGGCCCAACCCACCCAGCGTCTGCCTTCAACCGCCCCACCCGGACTCGGGACCGGCCAGCGGATTCCTCAGCTACCTGGGGCTCCCACTATGGCAGGTAGATGGCTCCAAACTCCCACCTCTGTGCCCTGGTGGAAGCTGCAGAAGATAGCCTTGGAAAGCCTGTGACCGTCCCTGGACATGTGGACTCAGGCACTGCCACGTCTCTGTCTCGCTCATTGGCTCAATCATTCATTCACTCTTCCATTTTATCACTGTGCAGTGTCTGAGGCATAAAAGAATATCTAAACCTATGTGCTAATAATAAAGCATGATACGGTGAATATCCCTGAACCCACCACCCAACTGAAGAGCTAGAACGTTTGCAGGATGCTCACCCTCCCACCCACTCACTCGCTGCTCCTTTGTTTATGATGGTGACTTAGAAAATCAGCTAAATCCTTTTGAGTGTTTCTGTGGGATGGTACTAGGCTAAGGTTTTTGTAGACATTGCCTCATTACTCCTTCCAGTAACTCTCTGAGATAATTGCTCTTGGTATCCCCCTTTGACAGATGAGGAAACTGAGGGTCAGAGAAGCTCAGAGCTGTTTTCTGCGAGACTGACTCCAGAGTCTTTGGTTTTGACTTCTATGCTCTCTTCCCCCATTGTGCTATAAGCATTTCTCCAGGTCGACATTCTGACTGATCATCTTTAATGCCTGCACAAAATTCATCCAGTGACATCATCTCTATTTCCCTTTGGCTAGTAAATCCACAGAGAGATTTTCCTGTGATTCTGGAGGTGGAGAGAGAGCTGTCCGTGCAGGAAGGCGGCAGGCCAGGTCCTCCTCGGTGCCTCGTGAGGTGCCCCGACGGTCCCTGAGTAAGTGACTACCTGCCAGCACTGATTTCTGAGGGCCACAGTCTAAGCATGTGGGCTCAGTGATCAGGGACCACAGCTACATCCTTCGAGGAAACCTGGGGAATGTTTTTCGTGTCTGTTTCTGGCCTAGGTCGTGCTCTGAAGCACAGTACACTTCTAAAAATAGCTACCATATACTGAGTACCTACTATGTGCCAGAATGTCTGTGAGGGCCCTTTATATATCATCTCACTTAATCTCCACTGTAAATCAGGTCACCTTATCCACATTCTGCAGATAAGGACACTGAAGCCCGAACAGCTCAGGGGACTTACTCTGGAGCCAGTGGCCGGGAAGCAACCCCAGGTCCACTCCTTCATGTGGGTCCTCGGCCTGGTTGTTGACCTGCTTCATGCAGTTTCAGCAACAGCTAACCATGCAGTAATAATAGCATCCAAGTGGTGGGATTGCCGCGAAGGTGCATGACACAGCACACACAAAGCATCTAGATCAGGCTTAGCCCAGGGTCAGGGTTCTGGACGTGTCGGCTGTTATTACTATGGGGCAGATCTACCCCAGGGCCTGAGCTTGTGATACACCCGCTCCCTGAGCTGTGCGACCCCTGCCCCTGCTCCCTCAGGTGCCTCTCTCTCTATCTCAGGTTCAGAATCTGAGTCGCCTTCCCCCCGGCTGTCTCTGAGAAGAGCAGGACCACGGAGGACGTTTCATGGGCAGCTCAGGACAGAATGTGAGGGGCGGGCAGTGCTGGAAAGCCAGACAGGGTCACCTTCTGGGGCCAATATGCAGGTAGGCCAGGAAGGAGGGCTAGGGAGGTATGTGTATGTACACACTCATGTATGTCCACACCTGTGCACATTCATGGTGTGTGTGTGTACTCACGTGTGCACACGAGGAGACAGAGACTATTCAGACCATATGGAGGAAGAGAAAAGAGAGCACTGCACCTGGACCCTCCCCAGTTCTGCATCTGTGCAGAGGGCTGCCACTGACAGTTCTGTTTTTATCCCCAGGCCAGGAATACCAGTTTCTGTTCCCCAAGGCTGTGCCAAGATGCAGTGACACAGTCTCCTGTCCCCACTGCCGGCCCATTAAGACGCCCATTAAGAACCAGAACACTGGTGAAGGAGGGTTCTTGGAAAACTGTTCAGGCTACAGCTTCTTGCTGTTAGGGGTGCATGGCTGGGGCAGATGTGGGCCTGCCCTAAGCTCAGCGGTGGGTTATAGGTACAGAAAAGGGAATGGGATTGCTCTGGGTGCTGCCAAAACACCTGCTGCTCCAGGTGCTGAGGCCTGAAGCCACCCTCCTTGATTTAAGAAGTTTCTGAAAGGTCCTGAGACATGGGCACTGGATAGCAGGGAGCTGGCTGCAGTGATTATGTCTCATCTCCCCTCCATCCTCCCTTCACTCCTCAAAACTCTCCCAAACCCAGTAGCGGAGAGGGGTGGGGAGAGCAGGGCCTGAGGATTTGGACACTGGATTCTAGTCCCAGTTCTGCCATTGACTAGCTGTGTGACCTTAGGCCAGTTGCTTGACTTCTCTGAGCTTCAGTCTTCACATCCATAATGTAAGGGTCGGAAGAGATCTGTAAGGTCATTTCAAGCAATGGTAATGATAATGATGGAGCTGACATTTAGTAAGTCCCTACTGGATAGCAGGCATCCTACTAAGGATTTTATATACATTATCCCACACAATTCTATGAAGTAAGTACTAATATTATGCTCATTTAGTGGGGGAGGAAACTCAGGCTCAGAGAGTTTACGTAAGTTGACGGAAGACACAGACCTTAGTGGTAGAGCAGGTTATGAACCCAGCCCCATCTCTTCAGCACTATGTCACTTTGCCTTTGCTAGAGTTCCAGCAGGCTCCTCCATTCATTCATTCATTCATTCATTCATTCATTCATTCAACACCTACCCATACTAGGTCCTGGGCCCTGTCCACAAGGTGTACTGCAGGTCCTGGAGTGATCCTGGTCTCCCTGAAATCTGGCTTTCTGATTAGAAGCTCCAACAAGTCTGTAGGGGTGTATGTTTGCCCAATCCATATAACCCAGAGCCTAACACACTGGCTGGCATATAGGAGATGGTCGAGAAATAATTAAGTGAACATGTAGATGGAACTAACTGTCCTTTTTATCTTCCTTTATCTTTCCAACACACCCCTCAATGTGTGCATATTATTCTCATTTTGGAGGTGAAAATACCAAAACCCAAACAGCAGGGGACAATGGTATAGCTCGGGTTTAGATCAGGGTTGACTGCAAACCCAGTGCTCCTGGGTCCACCCCTGCTCTCTCTGCGGCTAGTGAACGCACTTACTTCTCTCCCCAGGTACTATGCACACCCAGGACCTACCTCGGCCCAATCATCCACCGAGTGCCCCCCACAGGCTCCTCCCGGCCAGCCCGGGGACACCGGCACTCCATGCAGCTCGACCTGGACGACCTGGAGGAGCTTCACAAGGCCCTGCGCCAAGCCGTGCAGGCTGCCAAGAGCATCCGCTGTGCCACCAAGCAGATGA